TAATAATAAATACAAACAAGAACTATAAAAGAATATATGGGGGATTTAACGTGAAGTGATGCAGGCCTCATGCGCTTACACGACATGTAAATCTTAAAAATCAGCGCGCAAGAGCACGGCGCGTTATTGTTATTATATACGACAGTAAAAAATATTTTGTTAACAAAATTGTTTTAAAACACATAAAAATTATTAAATATTTAATAAATTTAATAAATTAAAAAATCGGCCTTTTTCAAGGCCACAAAATCATTTGACACATGGAAAATAGTACCAATCGGCCTTTTTAAAGGCCACAAATTCATTTACACTTGAAAAATAGTATCAATCGGCCTTTTTTAAAGCCACAAACTAAAGTGTAAATCTTAAAAATCAGTGCGCAAGAGCGCAGCGCGTTATTATTATTATATACAATAGTAAAAACTATTTTGTTAAAAAAATTGTTTTAAAAAACATAAAAATTATTAAAAATATTTAAATAATAACTATTTTTGTTAAATGATATAAAAATATTTAAAAATTAAGGAGTCTTGAAAAAAAACGAATTTGAAACAACTAAAAACAACGTCACTGTGTATTTGTTAATTAAGAGTTGTTTAAACAAAGCTAAGTTGAAAATTGTCAAAATTTAGCAATATTTGTTCATCTTGAGTAATAATATAGTAGACTAAACACAATATTTAAATAATTTAGTTACAAAGAACTAAGATAAAGAAAATTGTTTAAAAAATAACAATAATTAGTTTATAATAATTATTTTCAATGTTAATTACTTTTGGCCCTTAAATACAAAAGATTACATGCATTTCAATTGCTAAAAGTAAAAAAAACAATTAAATCGTCTTTAGTCCGCTAATTTGTTAATAACAATTACAAAAAATTTATAAACAATTATTAAATCTCAGAAAATGTTCTTAAATCATTGCTTTAACAATTTTAGGCTTTGTTGATGTAATACCGTCCTTTTTGAAAAACTTATGTAGTTTTGAGAGAAGAAAAAAAAATTTTCAACTTTAACAATAAATAATCAATAGAAAAAATTTTTTTTTCAAAAAACAAAAACGACAGCGCTGTGTGGAATTTTATTACCTTTAAGTCAATTCAAAGAACGTCAAAATCGGTTGAAATTTGTAGGCTCTAAGTTAATTTGTCCACGGACGTGTTTTTGGCCCCACTGTGCAACGATCGGCTGCTTCCTGGAATCCCATACAATGGCCCCTCCGCTAAGAAGAAACACGTACCCAGTGTACGATTTCCTGTTGATAATTGAACTTCCCCAATCGGCATCCACGTAACCGGTAACATCGTCGCCACCGTGCTTGTAGATAATTCCTTGATCAGCTGTACCTTTCAGGTATCTTAATACCCGTTTTGCTGCATTCCAATGCGTTTTTCCGAAACAGTTATTAAACTGACTGAGAACGCATGCGGCATGGGACAAATCTGGGCAGGTTGAAACTGACAAGTAGAGTAATGATCCCACTAGTTCGCGGTAAGGTGGGACTTCTCCGTCGGATTCTACCCAAACTTTGTCCTTGGTTAGTTGTGTACCCGGATCAAGAGGTGTTGAAACCGGGTTGCACTCGGTCATTCCAAATCGCCGAAGAACATTGGAGATGTACGTCCTGTGACTAATGGATATTCCCTCCTCATCCGTGTAGAAATCCATTCCTAGACAGCGTTTTACGTCACCGATGTCCCTCATTTCGAATGATTTTGACAAACTGCGACCGAATTTCGTGATTTTCTCGTCGTCCTGACACATGATTAATAAATCGTCCACGTAAATCACGATGATAATCAGTTTTCCGTCTTCGAATTTTAAATAAACACAGGGGTCTAATTTTGTTGGTTGAGCCCCCAATTTTCGAAGTTCTCTGTCTAGATGTCTATGCCAGACTCGAGCTGCCTGTTTCAGACCGTATAAGGCCTTTTTCATCCGGCAAACGACATTTTTCGATTTTAAAGTATCTAACATTTTTCCGGCTTTGATCACCCATTCGCCATCTTCTTTCATCTCACTGACAATGAACGTGAGTACCTTCTCCAGCCACTTCGGTACCTCCATGAAAACCTCTTCGTCCAGCTGTCCATTGAGGTAGGCCGATGTGACATCGTACTACCTTATTTTCATGCCCTTCTGAGCTGCGATGGTTTTGTAAATAAACTTACGTCCTCGGTGACACTAGCAAATTGTTTTGATGAATTTTTCTCGCTTGGACAGTTTCTTGCTCGGTGTCCTATCTTCCCGCACTTGAAACATTTCATTTTAGAATCGTTTCTTGTCACATTATCCTTTTTGTTTTGCTTATATTTGTTACTAAATCCACTTTTATTTTCCGATTTCGTAACAACCATCGCGTTTTGTGCGAACCTTTGATTTGTCTCCTTCCGCGCTTCTGATTCTTCTGTGACTTTAATTCGAAGTGTCTCCAATGATGGCAGCTCGTCCCTCGATGACATGGCGCATCGGAAATTTTCGTAGTCCTCCGGCAAACTTCGAAGAAACATGATGGCCAACAGATCTTTATTGATAGTGATATCCAGTTCTGCCAACACAGCCACACAAAAAAAAAAAGTACTTGGGCCGGGAAATGAGACCATCATTTTTTGATGTATTTTGATGCGCTGAACACGAATCTGAAGTCCGTTTAGCTCCATCACGTCAGGATTTTGACATAACCTCAAAAAACATAGCTGATTTTAAATGACAGGAGAAATTTTTAAATAATGGCAGATTTGCTTGAATCTTGTTACTCGGGGGTTTTTGGGGTCGCTGATTACGAATTTAACGTCAGATTTAATAAATTCAAAATGGCGGATCCAATATGGCGGACGAATTTTTAAAAAGTAGTTGGATTTTTACGAAAATTGGTATCTAGGGGTTTTGGGAGTCGCTGATTACTTTATCGTCAGATTATTCAAATTCAAAATGGCGGATCCAATATGGCGGACGAGTTTTTAAAAAATAGTTGAATTTTTATGTAACTTGGCCGATACTGGGGTTCCGAGTCCCTGCATCGTAATACGTTTCCTACGTGTGTCTGCCATGACGGCATCAAAGCCATTATCCAGGGACTTAGCCGGATAGCGGACAAACTCCGTTGCCCACCGTCACCGCGTGGAGGTACCCTGGATGCAGACACATGTAGAAACATAAAGATATTTGACCACCGTACTATATCTGCCATTTTACATTTGAATAATCTGACGTTAAATTCGTAATCAGCGACTCCAAAAAACCCCATGATACCAATTTTTGTAAAAATCCAACTACTTTTTAAAAATTTGTCCGCCATATTGGATCCGCCATTTTGAATTTGAATAATCTGACGATAAATTTGTAATCAGCGACTCCCAAAACCCCTAGATACCAATTTTCGTAAAAATCCAACTACTTTTTAAAAATTCGTCCGCCATATTGGATCCGCCATTTTGAATTTATTAAATCTGACGTTAAATTCGTAATCAGCGACCCCAAAAACCCCCGAGTAACAAGATTCAAGCAAATCTGCCATTATTTAAAAAATTTCTCCTGTCATTTAAAATCAGCTATGTTTTTTGAGGTTATGTCAAAATCCTGACGTGATGGAGCTAAACGGACTTCAGATTCGTGTTCAGCGCATCAAAATACATCAAGAAATGATGGTCTCATTTCCCGGCCCGGGTACTTTTTTTTTTTGTTTGGCTGTGCAATTTATCAACGACATCTAAGAAGGACCGTGAATGTTGCCGAACGTCTTCGCCATTTTTCATTTTTAGGGACATTAGCTGATTGAGAAATGCCGCTTTTCTCGCAGGTCCTTTGGATTGATAGGTGTTTTCCAATTTGACCCATATCTCTCGCGCTGTAGTGCAATCTTTAATAAGCTTAATCTCCGATGGGCTAATAGCGAGCACAATATCCGATTGTGCTTTTAGATCGGCATTTGTCCATTTATTTGCAGCTTCTTGTGTCGTTGCATCACCCGCTTGGACCTCGGGTTTGTTCTCTGTACCACTCGTGTACCCCCATGCATCGTTTTTTATTAGGAGAGCACGCATCTGGAGTTTCCAGGTGTCATAATTGTCTTTTGTAAGGACTTCGAATCGTACACCAGTTGCACTCATTTTACCGATCGTTAGAGAAAACAAAAAGGAACACGCTAACCTCAAAAGTTCGACCACGCGGTTACCGTTTTGCAATTCTCGAATTTAATCGCGTACGCACAAGGTTAATGCCACACCTGGGCCCATAACCTGTAGTAATTTAGTGGTGAAACACATTAAAACCCAGCAAATACACAAAGGAGATATTTATTGTAATTGACTGATTAGAAAACAAGAGAGCTTGTGATTTATACAAAGGTTACAAATGAACTGAACTGAACACATGTTAGTGTCCTTGAGTTACTAGAGACATCTATATGAAAAGAGTTTGATTAGTGTAAAGCTTTAAATTCAAAATCCCGACAAAACCTGTGCAGGGTGTCTACTAAAAATCTGAATTAAAATTCCAGAACTTTTCCAGACCAAATTTCTTATTTTTCCAGTACATTAAATTGGATGACCTTAAGGAATAAAAAATTTTTTACTTTAACTATTGTTTTCAGAAATTTAATTAAAAAAACAATTTTAATAAATATTACAGAAACATTAATAAACATTACATTACGTAACTTAAGTAAATTATCATTTTACTTATTTAATTAATTTTTTTAACTTGATTGACAAAATTATAAATTTCTGAAAATTTAAAAGCAAAATATAAAAAATTCAAGGACAAAAATTAAAATTCCAGGATTTTCAAGGACATTCCAGGACATTTTTTCAAATTCCAGGACCTCCAGGACTAGTAGACACCCTGCTGTGTTATAATAAAAATGTGTGAGAAAAAAATAGTAAAGCGATTTGCCAAGTTTTTGCGTTCTGAAACGGATATCTGTTTTAAATCGATATTTTAATCAAAAATTATAATATTGTAAATATTTTTTTAAACTATAGTATGCTTTGAAACTTACTTTATCTTGTTCTGATATAGATAGTGTACTATGTAGAGACAAAACAATCCAGTTTTTTTCCTTCATACTGTATTCTTTAGCCGCTTCAACTACGGCTGTGATTTCACTCATTCCACTTAAGAATATGAGTAAATCACCTTTTTCACTATCTACAAAACAGAAAAAACTTCTATTAATAACGATTCACATTAAAGAAATCTAATAATCATTTTCCATAAAAGATTCAATTAACCCCTTCGTGCCCAGGCAAAACTGAGCATATAAAAAAACGAAACTAAAGTGGTTCCTATAGTTTTTGGGGTCGCTGATTACGAATCTGGTGTTAGTTTTTGAAAATTCAAAATGGCGGATTCAATATGGCGGACGAAAAAATTAAAATTGTTCGGATTTGCTTGAAAATTGTCACTCGGGGGTTTTCGGGGTCGCTGATTACGAATCCGATACTAGTTTTTCAAAATTCAAAATGGCGGATCCAATATGGCGGACGAAAAATCAAAATTGTTCGGATTCGCTTGAAAATGGTCACTCGGGGGTTTTCGGGGTCGCTGATTACGAATCCGATATTAGTTTCTCAAAATTCGAAATGGCGGATCCAATATGGCGGACGAAAAATCAAAATTGTTCGGATTCGTTTGAAAATGGTCACTGGGGGGTTTTCGGGGTCGCTGATTACGAATTTGGTATTAGTTTTCAAAAATTGAGTCTTAAATCCAATGTTGCAGATCAATTTTTAATAATCGTTAACAATCGATTGAAACTAATTTAAATTAAACAAATTAAAATAAGTTGAAAGTATAACAGTAATAGAAGTTTATTTTTTTATGTCTGTAACGGCCTTCCACACCACCCTTGAGGTTCCGCAAGAAGTGCGTTGGATTTTTTTTGTTAATAACTTTTAAAAATACGTCCATCACATTGCATCCGTCATTTTGAAAAACTAATATCGGATTCGTAATCAGCGACCCCGAAAACCCCCGAGTAACCATTTTCATGCGAATCCAAACAATTTTCATTTTTCATCCGCCATATTGGATCCGCCATTTTGAATTTTGAGAAACTAATACCAAATTCGTAATCAGCGACCCCGAAAACCTCCCAGTGACCATTTTCAAGCGAATCCGAACAATTTTGATTTTTCGTCCGCCATATTGGATCCGCCATTTTGAATTTTGAGAAACTAATATCGGATTCGTAATCAGCGACCCCGAAAACCCCCGAGTGACCATTTTCAAGCGAATCCGAACAATTTTGATTTTTCGTCCGCCATATTGGATCCGCCATTTTGAATTTTCAAAAACTAACACCGGATTCGTATTCAGCGACCCCAAAAACCCCCGAGTAACCAGTTTCAAGCGAATCTAAAATGTTTTAAAAATTCGTCATTTTTCATAATTATTTATATTTTTTTCTGAACAATATAAATTTTTAAACAAAATGTGAGTTCCATTTTTTGAAAGCTCTATCCTTCCTGAAAAAAATGCACCAAGTTTGAATAAAAAATATTTAATCTGTTTAGAGTTCTGGAGGTTTTTGTAGGTGGGACATATATGTCCCATGGGCACGAAAGGGTTAATAATAAGTGCACTATTAAATAAATTGAACCAACGGATCGTAGAAGGGCATATACGCAATGTATTTAGCATGGCCTATATGCCCTTCTACGATCCGTCGGTTCAATTATATTTAAGGGGAAATATCACCCAGACCACCTACTTATCACCCCTATTTTATTACCCCACTCTATTTATAATTTTTTTTATACATTTTATTTTTTTTCATTTTTATTTTTTTTCTTGGATTATGTCTTAAACTTTTTTGTTTGCATAAAATTTATTTTTAAATATCAACTATGACAATGATAAAAAAGATTTTTAAATGAAAAATCACATGTCAAAACGAATTTTCTTTGATCGTCTTTGATGAGTTTGACCAAGATCGTCTCGCTTAAGACACCAGCAGTAGTCGGCTAACATTTTAGCATCCCACCTTCCCTGATATCTCCTCTCCATCTCGTTGATGGCTTGGTGAAATCTTTTACAATAGATTTGTACTTCGGAGCCTTGTTGTTTCCTAAAAAGTTATTAATGACGTCATTTAACGCGTCCAATGCCTCTTTCACTACAGGAATCATGGTCTTCTCAAACTCTTTGTCTTTCATTTGCAATCTTATTTGTGGCCCAATGAAAATCCCTTCTTTAATTTTCGCTTCACTCAAGTGAGGAAACTTAATGCAGAGATATTTGAAACAATTTCCTTCTTTGTTTAAAGCCTTTACAAATTACTTCATGAGTCCCAGTTTAAGGGGGAGTGACACCTTTGACCCGAAAAAAATCGATTTTTTTTGTTTCATAAACGTTACTTTATGATGTGTAGAATAGAAATTATATCAGCAAAAGCGATTTCGAATTTATTTTATGTGAAAAAATCGAAATCTGCGGAAGGTGTCCAAGATCGCTTCGAGTGCTTTATAGCGCTATCGGCTATTTTCTCTTTTACTGTGGTAACAATTGCGTTCTTTTACGCTCACAACCGCTGGAAAGACTGAAGATGAAGCCAATATTAATGTAGAAGGCCAATTATACGGTGCAGGCATCGTTGATTAACGTTGATTTCATGTTTTTATATGTTTTCATATGTCAAAACTTTAAACGCGTTTTTATTGAAATGACATTTTTCAAAACGGTGGGCAGTCTAGATCGAACAGTTTTGATCGGATTGACTTCAGCCAAAGTTTTTTTTGATCGTTATTTACTAATGCTTTACGTGGCGGATTTTTTATTGGTTTTTTTGGCAATAGATTTTTTGAAAAAACTTCGCCTTAAAAATCGATTTTTTCCTTTAAGGGTGATTCTCTCAAAAAGGACAAATTACGCTTTTAAGATATTTTGTTAAAAAATATGAAAATTAATTGAAATTATTTAAAATTCTGTCAGCCATACGTTAGGATTTAACAATTTTCAATCGGACCACTAAAGAAAATTTTAAAAAAAGGTAAAATAACTGAAATATTGAATAAAAACTGATGTTACGGAATGGAGTTACGGAATGGAGTTACGGAATGGAGTTTTAACACTAGTTTTCATTCAATAATTCAGTTGTTTGCCATTTTTTTGAAATTTTCTTTAGTGATTCCATAAAAATTTGTTGAATTTTATCGTATGGCTGGGAGAATGTTTATTAATTGAAATTAATGTTATTATTTTTTAACAAAAACCTCGTCCAAAATTGTGCACAAATAATTTGTTCTTTCTGAGAGAATCAACCTTAAATAGCTGCCAAATCCACAAAAATTAATATTTTTAAAATATCCTACGTACTCTAAAGTTAAATCTATCACAGATTCAGAAAAAATTTGAATTTTTGTTTTATATTAAACGGTCTAACCGGAATCTTGCTCACCGATTTGCCCTGCAGAGAAACGAGACCAACTTTAGCGGCATCTATAGTCAACAAATTGAAACTTTTTTGAAATAAAAATATATTTTTGTAAACTTAAAAAGTTAACAAATAAAGTCCTCGAAACAAAATTTTGTTTACTTTATTCCTGTGACTTAAAAAAATTCATGAAAAACAGGTTCAAAAGAGACCTCAAAGGTGTCACTCCCCCTTAATATGAAGCGGAGGTAGCAATATTTTATCAGGATCGACGAGAAAATCACGAATCATATTTTTTTCCCCACCTATAAACGTGGTTCTAGGTGTACACTTTTTATTTGTCCAATGAAGATGTCTAGATCTACTGTCCCACTCGCACAAAAAACATGGATATTTGGTATAACCTGATTGTTGACCTAGAAACATGCACCAAATTTTTAGATTACCACACATCATCCATTCACATGCCTTATAATCAATTGCTTATAAAACTGTTACCAAGTTTTCGTACGTTTCTTTGAAATATACCAAGTGGGCAATTGGGACCGACGCGAATTTATTCCCATTATGAAGAAGAACAACTTTAAGACTTCTTTTTGAAAAGTCAATAAAGAGTCTTCATTCATTTGACAAATATCTAGGTCCCAAATCATTGATTAAAACTGGTATGTTGTTATAAAAAACTAGAGAACCTTCTTTAAAAAAATATGGAAGAAATTCTTGTTCACGATGCCTGTACCAAGCAAATGTTGTTTTATCATCCAACATATTTCGTTCTTGCAGTCTTGATCCAAGAATTTCTGAGTCCTGTTTTGTAAGTCCTAAGTCTCTTACTAAATCGTTTACAGCATTTTCTGTAAAAGGTTTTTTTTTGTCGTTAGATGAAGAATCTACATAATCATCGCAATCTTTATCATCAGAATCATTCTCTTCATCGAGAATATTCTCATCATCAATAACAATCTGATAGACAATATTTTTATTTAACGTGGATGAAACAGTACGAGTAGGTTATTTAGGATTCAAAGGATAAAATTTATACAAAACAGGTAGTGTAACAGATGAGACATTAGGGTAGCAAATGCTTCCTTTATTGTTAGTATTGAACCCCACTACAGTGAACTTGAAAAAAAACAATCTTCTGCGTGATTGGTAGGTTCACGCCAAATCATTGGGCTAGCAAATTTATATCTATCTTTACTGCTACTTTCCATCCCCGTACTGATTCCAAATAACTTTTACAAATTTTATGTGGCACCCAAGATTTTTCCTGATGACAAATATTTATTTTAAAATATTCAAAATACGCTTCGCGTACGAATTTAGAAATCGGTTTTCTCAGTCTAAGAAAGGTATATCTGCCACACATATAACAAAATTTCTCAGGGTCATTTTTACAATGTCGTGAAGACATTTTCAGAAACTAGATGACTTATACAAAACTGCCTAAAAATCGTTCACCTCAAATCGAACGTACGTATAAGTAAAAAATTTTTTAGAAGTTACGTAAATTAAATGTTCTGTTTAAAATGTACTAATTTGTGAGACTTTTTCGGAAGTTAACTAACTTTTATGAGCAGTGCAGAATGTACGTATCTCGTATACTCCGGATCAAAACTACTTAAGTTTGAGGTTAGGTTTAGAACTTATGTAGCTGAAGTATGAGACGTCCACGAAGTAAGAATAAGGAGTCTTCACTCAATGCGCGGATTGCAGGTAAAATGTCCCCATTCGTTACAACGTCGATCCGGAAAACTCGAATAGGCAGAGCTGG